GACTGAAGAAACAAATGAAAAAAACAAATCATAATATCTATGAGTTGAAAGGAAAGAAGGTAGAATTTGAAACAAATCATAATATCTATGGATTTCCACAACAACCTAGCATTAATTATTAAATAGACAATGTATAAGAATCTCCAAACAAGGTAGAAACATCCATATTACCATGGTTTTCAGTGATCTTTTCATCTGGTAAAGAAACACGGTAACATAAATAAGCACATGTGGAGATGAACAAAAATACTTATCCAGATTTAACAAATTTATAATGATAAAAAATCATTAAGAATGTATTTGAAGTATGTCTAACATAAAAGACAGGAGTACAAGAATCTTTTCCACCTCCCCAGCTAGGCTTTATTAGATATACTGCCGAACAATAAATCATGTTTGTTAATTTAATAATCAAATGGGAAAAGGGGATAATTACATAGAGAGCTCCCAACACAGTACGTTTTCTAAAGACACCTCTTTCTTGTACTGAATAGGGCAAATCACAAATATGGACAGGACAGGAGGACTAAAGGAAAGAAGAACAAGCTTAAACCAAATTCTTACATTTAAAGATTTTAAATTTAAAACCTTGAAAGTGAAGAAACAGCCAAAAATAGGAGAAAATATTCCTATGCGACAGTACCCAATGACCACTCTGTGCAATTCAGTCATTGGCATCATGGTTTGAAAATTGTGCCCCCCATATCCAGAAGGTTACTTATACATTCAGAAAGCAATGGAACATAATTAAAAGTTAAAACATCCAGTCTAGGGTAATAACAAAACCAAAAGCAACCAGCTAAATAGATAGGACATATATGCAACATTTGAGTTTATTGAATATCCAGTAATATCAAATTCAGCGCCAAGGTGACTCAAACCATTTGTTGACTTTACGCCCAGCTCAACCCTAGAGGTTCAAAAAACGCACAGACAGCTCCAGTTCTATCATAGCCCCAAATACTTAAATAAACTGAATTTAAACTCTAATGTATAAAGAACACAGTCGTTGGGTACATTCCACGCACAGGTAAAGACTCGTTCTGACAGACTTCTGACATTAAGCCAAAA